GGAGGCGGAGGTTGCAGTGAGCTGAGATCGCACCATTACACTCCAGCCTGGCAACAGAGCAAGACTCCGTCTCAAAAAAACAAAACAAAACAAACACACACACACACACACACAGAAATATGTAGTATTTTCAGAGCATCGCAAGCATTTGAGAATTGCTCATTCCCAGGGGTGCCCACAGTCTCCCTCTGCAAGCCAGGAATTCGTTACGGTTCCATGGCTTCTGTTGATATCTGGTCTCCTAGAATCCACCACTGAAGCCCCCAAGCCTCTGTCCGGTCCCCGCCGTGGAAAGGGTCTCACCCCTGGTTTCGGTCCATCGCATTTATTGAGCGCCTACTATATGCCTGACCCCGACCCTTGGCTCAGCATACGTTTGTTTGCGCCTAGCCACACAGGACCCCCTGGGAGAGCAGCGGCTCATCCTCTGGGCCCCCAAATGGGTGGATCATTCCAGCAAATACGGCTTTGGCTACCAGCTCTCGGACGGGGGCAGTGGTGTCCTGCTTCGGGACGGCACCCACATGGCCCTGCGTCCCCCCGGAGGGTAAGTTGTGGCCTCCTGTGCCCTGGGGGACCAGGCGCTCCCCCTGCCTTTTTTCATTCATCTCTCAAGTATTTATTAAGCACCTGCTGTGCACACCTACAGGTGCTCCCTGCCTGGTCGGGGAGAACAACGCTAAACAAATGAATGACCAAGTGCTTTTCTGTAGGAAATGAACCCAGTGAAGAGGCAGATTAGGAAGGGAGGTGAATCCCAGTAGCGTGGGGGGGTGGAAGGGGAAGGGGTCTCTGAGAAAGTGACGTGAATGGCAAGCAGCAGCCCTGTGCTTTGGGAGGCCAAGGCAGCAGGATCGCTTGAGTCCAGGAGTTTGAGATCAGCCTGGACAACCTATCAAGACCCCATCTCTACAAAAATTTTAAAAATTAGCTGGGCTTGTGGTGCGTGCCTATAATCCTGGCACTGTGGGAGGCTGAGGTGGGAGCATTGCTTGAACCCAGGAGTTTGAGATCAGCCTGGGCCACATAGGAAGACCTATCCTATCTCTACAAAAATTTTTTTTTCCTGAGACGGAGTCTTGCTCTGTCACCCAGGCTGGAGTGCAGTGGCATGATCTAGGCTCACTGCAAGCTCCGCCTCCCGGGTTCATGCCATTCTTCTGCCTCAGCCTCCTGAGTAGCTGGGACTACAGGTGACTGCCACCACGCCCGGCTAATTTTTTTCTTTTTTTTTTTTTTCTTTTGAGACGGAAGTTCACTCTTGTTGCCCAGGCTAGAGTGCAATGGCGCAATCTTGGCTCACCACAACCTCCGCCTCCTGGGTTCAAGTGATTCTCCTGCCTCAGCCTCGTGAATAGCTGGGATTACACGCGTGCACCACCATGCCTGGCTAATTTTGTATTTTTAGTAGAGACGGGGTTTCTCCATGTTGGCCAGGCTGGTCTCGAACTCCTGACCTCAGGTGATCTGCCTGCCTCGGCCACCTCGGCCTCCCAAAGTGCTGGGATT